CTCGGTACAAGATTCGCAATAGAATCAGTCCAATACTAGGTGTTGCTCGTGCTATTGCTAATGCTGCTGTTTTTACCATTACTTGACAGGGATGCAAAAAGATCACAGTTTATTTGAATGGTATGTCCTATAATTGTAGGAAATGTTTGTTTGACTTGAGAGTTAAACCTACCACCTATCGGCTGTAGAATACGATACGCAGATTATGAGAATAAATGGTCCTCATCGTCCTTCTCACGAACGTCCAGGCCATTGGGACACACCACACATGCCTTCGGAATGAGCTTTGAGGCTTTTGGTTGATTAGCATTGGGGAGTTCCTTCATCCGAGAGTTTATTATTATGTATCAACCCGTCTGTTTATCCTCTTTGTTTGTCTGAACCAGTGAACGAGAGGTCACCATTCCAGTAAATTAGTACGTTTTTGAATGAACGAAAAATGCCAATTTTATCAACGAGAACACATGAACCCAGCTGTCGTCGTTACATTCTATTAGTCATAACTTAATCAGGCTTTTTCATTAAAAAACAATATGACGAGGAAGGCACACTATGTGGTTGGCAGAACGCACTTAAACGCCAAACTGTTATCGATATCAGGCATTTTGACATCAATTGATGTCAACAGCTAACAATTGTTAACTGTCGATAAGACCATGCGGCAGATTATTAGGCCCTTCTTTGTTTAGTTCGTTTTTCACATTATTTAATATCCGCAACGCTGGATAATGAATTCAGATTCAGTGCAGATTGTCTTTTGACTTACAAACCACTTTGATTCCGGGCTGTGATGTGTCTTCACCAGCATAATCATCATCTGTATAGGCATCTGCAAAATATTGGCTTTCTGAAATGTATCTTGTCCTAAAAGTAAGTGAAGAATGAACATCTTACCCGTTTTGCCAAATATCCGTAAGGTATTAACGTCATAAGGATTTACTTTACCCTGTGTGGTTGTCCTTCGGATAAAAAGTGTTCCTTTCTATCTCGATTCTACACTTTATCGGTGGGAATGTACATGCGTACCTTTTCAGACTGTCTCTTTTCCGATTTAAGGCATTCTACCTTTTCGATGCTTGATCATTTTCGACGGCTCAGCGCATTTCTTGCCTGACTATAAACGATCTGATACGCTTGAAGATAAAAGCCGTGACATGAAGGGTTACCGCGAAGTCAGTCCAGGAGTGGCAGACTGAGCAAGCTGCAATGCCTTATGACACTCCCGCATAGCTGGGATCCTAGTAGGGTGTGGTAGCACACCCGATCCCGCTTAAGGCCGTCTGGAATATGTCTTGGCATTACGTCCAGGCGGACGAAGGAGGAGAGAGTTAGTTAGATGCCATTTAAGCTTACTTTCTCACAGGGTAGACATCGTCAAAATTGATGGTTGAAATGTCGGTCGGTTTATCCTAGAGTCTCTCAGTTCTTAAAGGGATATACAAAATGCTGATTTGAATTGCTGGCTTTTGAAGCACATGCAAGCGTTAAATGTCATATTATGCTTTAATGTAAAGTGGTGTTATGTAGGTATAATTCAAATTAACTTACGAATATGCAGTGACACGAGGCTCTTTTTCAAGTAACGCGTTTGGTGAATTCTTTTGTGGTTCAAACTGAACAGCCTTCTACTTGTCAAGTAACATTTCTTTTCTGGGCCCAATGCTAAAGAGTTCTAAAAAAATGCGCCTGGAAAGCACTCCTTAGTTTCAACAGCCTCCTTAGGGTAAGTTTGGCACTCTTGCACTTTTCTACGCTTAGTTCTCTAGCTGGGACACAGTGTCGAAGGTACTTGTAAGAATGAAACTCGTAGGCCCTAATTTTGGTAAATAATGAGAACAGAAAATTGGGAAAAACTACACAGCCAAGACAATTGTCTCACCTTCGAGATGCGGATCCCCTTTCTCGCTAAATTCTCGCTGGGCGGTCTTTCGAATGCCAAACCGATTCCGTCAAATTAAGAAGGATGTCGTAGGGCTTTAGACGGAACGCTTGTGTATTTCGTGATTATAGTGCAAATTCATGAAATAATAGAATTCTATTTACTCATTTTTGTATTTAAACAATTATTGCTGCTTATCGAGGCCATGGTAGGTACAAAGTCCTCCATAAACGACAAGTAGGTTTTCGAAGAAATTTCAGGACTGCGTAGAAGTGCGCCGGTCCAAATGCTCTGCAGCACTTTCGCAAGATACGATTTTCTTCCTTCGAAGACTTCAAACAGTCAGGCCCGGTAGTCGAAACTCTGTTAAGTCTTGGCATTTCTATCAGTGTCTGTTCCCGTATATTTTCACCGAGTTCGTTAAGCCAGCGCTGGTCGGAAGTAAAAGTGAAGTGGTAAAACCATAGGAGACTTGCCGTCGGCCTCAGCACGGCCTACATTAAGGCTGTGCCTACAACGCTCTTGCATATGCCGTGTACGATGCGGCAGTTGCTGGATCTTGTAATTCGTTCAGTTACTGTGACTTCTTAAGCTTTAATTCTAGACCAAGCCTGTAGGTGCCCTTTAGAAGGGGGAATTTTAAATAAATTAACTGCGAATGTCTTAATTGTTAGCTTAAATAACAAATACGTTGCGTTTGCAGAAAATTATAATTACTACTATTAGCATGCTATTTAACCTCCTGATTTTCTGTAGGATTGCCTGAAATGTGCAGTGTCAAACGCTTATGCTATTTAATTATCAGCCTGCCAACTACACACTAGGTGTTTGTGCACATATTTGCTTAAGAGAGCATTCGGTTTGGATGCCCAATTGATGTCATTCTGTCATTTTCTCTCTAGAAATTACACACTTAACGTACTCCTTTGTCAGATTGTTTTCTTTTGTCCTCTTTAAGCTCCAATTCATCGTCTCAAGGTACATTTCTGACGATGTCCCCTTCGTTCGCGTTTCTGCACCCATGGTCCGTTACTCCAAGTGAGTTCTGACTCAGTCCACTTACGTGTTCCTAATTGCCCGCACCCTAAAACTTCTCTCATTGGCTTACCAAGTTCAGCAATTAGTGGAAAAAGTCTCTGAGCTCTGAGTTTTCATAATCGTACTTTGCGATGCGTTCGAGCACTTTTAGCCACAATGTCAGTCAGTTACCTTTTCACATCTACTTGTGTCTTCTCGATACTTGAACTCTCCCGTAGCTGAATGCACCCCCAAACACGGATACTTATTGTTCGGACTTCTGTAAGTGATATTTCTGTTCGCTTCTTCGCGAAGTCCGTTGCAAGACTCTGGACTTGACCGAGTTTTCTAGCGCATTAGCCGTAAGTATCGCAGTGGGTTGAGTTAATAAGGAAAACCCTTGCCTTCGCGATCTTCTGGACGGGTTCCATAGGAGAAGAGAAGAAGTGAGACGCCAGCTGGGAGGAGTAGTGTAGGTAGGAGAAAGTTGACTGTCAGACTAGTGCACAACCACTCGTGAAGAGGTTGGTGTGAGAAATGTGAGGGTGTCGGAGTCATCACAATGAGTTCCTGTGTGAGCCAGCCTTGAAGGGGATTGTCCAGATTGGATTGCATAGGCAGACGTTGATGCTTCGAACTTGCCCGCGGCGTTGGCGGAGCTTGCAAATCGATGACTGCAATCACGTCAACTCATGTGTGGCGTGGCGCCGGGGGGGGAAGGCGCAAGAACGTCACTACCTAGGCTTCCTAGCACGTAAATGAGAAGTAGGTCCGGCATCTTCTCAATGTGCTGCGAAAGCAAGGTTAGTGCATTTCCATGATGGCTGACTTATTTTAACAAGTGCTCTTTCAGGACGCGGCGTGTCATGCTCATTTTTGCTCTGTTCGATTTTCTGGCTTCCCTTTCGTCTCCTGGTCCGAAAACACAACGTTGACCTTGCCTACTCATCAATGATAATGAGCGACGCCTTCCTGCACTCTGAAGCAGTCCGCGCAGTCGAGTTCACTACCTGTCCCGAGGATCGCCCTCTCATCGTTCAACTGGCCTGCAAGAACGCACCGGATTTTGCGCGCTGTTGTGAACTGCTTCTCAACCAGTGCGACGGTGTGGACCTCAACTGTGGATGTCCTCAAGGGTATCTTTCTGACCACAATCTCTTATTTTCTGCCGATGAACTTATCGCAATGGTTTCGGTTATAAGGTAAAATCCTTGCCGCTGCTATTTTGCAAAACAATTCCTTAAGGGAAGAGAAGGCGAAGTGAGGCACCAGGTGGAAGGAATAGGGCATTTTGTACAGAGGTAGTGGTTGGTGTAAGTTGATAGTTGGAGGAGTGCTCAATTACTCTCACGGAAATAGTGTCTGATCGCGGCAGTTATCTAAATGCCGTCTTGTGGGAGTCAGTCACATGAAGATGATTGGTCAGGCAGGATTGAGTAAGGCATACATTAGTGCTTGCGCAAGAGATTGGACGCCGGCACAGTTTGTGGCGCCTGTGATTGACATTCCCAGGGGCGGGCTGAGAACTGCTGTATACTCCTGTGAATTTTAACTCTTACTATTAGGCCTTAAACCATTTCCTGTATCTATCAGGTGTGATATGAAGGACGGATATGGAGCGGCAATCTTGAAGCAACCTGAACTGATCGCCGATCTTGTGAAGGCGGCTTGAAGTGTGGCACCATGTTGGCGCTGTCCCACTGAGGCAGCCGACTGTGACAAGTATTCCACCGAGAATCGGGCTGACAGGGCGCCCTTTTCTGTTAGCATAAAAATCCGTCTTGTTCCAATTTCCGGAAGCAGGGCTACAGGAGCCGATTCGAACGTAGAAAATGCAAGCACCAAATCCCTTATTTTTTAATTGATCGCCTTAACAAGAATATATTGTCCATTTACGCAAATATATGATCAAAAGATGATACCCGGCAGATAGAAACAGTGAACAGTGGATCCCCAGGTGACGAGCAGCCCCATTTACTACCACCATTTTCGATCATCTGCAGCCAATAAGTGAACTAATGCTGTTTGATTAGCTACGTTTCGTCAGATGAGCGTTTCACATCACGAGGCCAGTGCCGGAACTGATTAAACTCGTTAATCGACTTTCCACTACTCCTGGAAACCGAGGCATCACTATTTTGGTTGAATTTTTTTGCCTTAGCTTGCGAGGATAAGAAAGTGTATGGCCTTCTGCTTTAAAGCGCCAGGGATTCTCTACCATGATATTCTGTGATTGACCAAAGAAGTTCCTTTATTTAGACTTCTTCTGGGCAGTGCCGGTGAGCAAACCCGGAAAGGTCTTATCTGATTACATAGAATGCCAAAGATAAAGCAGCCCGAAGGCCCGACCGGCTTTCCTGATTTCTAAACTCGGATGAAGCTTTTATTTATCCTGATTATTGTGTAACTTTATGTTTTCCCTTAAAGTCAGTTACATAAAGGTGCAACATTTTCACCTCTCCTCTTCCCAATGGCAATGTTTGCGGTTTCTGTCACTTTTAATTTTCCAGAAATCAGAGACAGAGGGCAATTATCACTCGCATAGGCTTTCGAAGAGCCTTACGTAGCATTCTAGTCCGAAATGTATATCTAGCGATCCCACAAAATTATTCTGAAATACTGTGGCTTCCCGTTACATGTATTTTTTTTTCCCTCTACGTGTTTCAGAATGTCAAACTTACGGTCGAGCTGATTCGAAGGGCCGCAGCCATGGGTGTGGACTGGGTGACGATTCACGGGCGGATGGCCTCACAAGGAAGCAGCTTGCCCTGTCAGTGGGAGGCCATTCGCGACATCATTGATGCCCACATCCCCCACCTGGAACACGGATGTGCACCACTGCTCATCTTCTCGAATGGCGATGTTGCCTCGGCTGCGGATGCCTGGAAGGCACACCAGCTCACTGCGTGTCCCGGTAAAGTTGTGCTTCTTTGCTTTCTTCTTATTGATGCCTGTGTCCCTCCGCATCGTCCCCGTGCAAAAATTAATTATTTGTTTTTACTCTAGTAGAAGACTGATTATAGCGGAC